TACTGCACGTTGACGCGGACAACGACGCAGAAGTATAAATGAAAACTGACGCATAGCCTACGGCGTAAAGGCTACGGCATAGGTCCGACGCAGAAGTATAAATCAGCCTTAAGAACCATGATTAGCTTGTTCAGGTGTTTGATTAAGGTTGGAGCTAAACTCTGCAGGACAGCAGCTCTCCAGGACCAGCATTGTGCAACCCCTATGTTAGGCAGAAGGGCAGTCTTATTTCTAAGGATGTGTAAGGAGTTTTCACTCTAACCCCCTATACAAACTCACCTGCCTGTTGCTTTCCAGTAACCCTTAGAACCATGATTAGCTTGTTCAGGTGTTTGATTAAGGTTGGAGCTGAACTCTGCAGGACAGCGGCTCTCCAGGACCAGCGTGTGCCCCTATGCCCCTAACCCCTATGTTAGGCAGAAGGGAAGTCTTATTTCTAAGGAGGTGTAAGGAGTTTTCACTCTAAATTGTGATGTTATGCTTATGTTATTTTTATGATTATAGATTTATTCTGGAGAAAATGGACCTGCCCAGTAAAATAACACCAGCACAAGCAAAGAAAAAGTGGGACAATTAAAAAAAAAAGTATAAAGTAAGCTGAGATGTAGGCCTTGTACAGTCCCATGTCTAAGTTGTCTCAACTCTATAAAAATTAACTTTTTAAGTTTCAATTCCTATAGAATCATATAGAATACATTATGTTGATAATTGGCACAGTCAAAAGATTCAGGAGCACCTTCTGATCAATAATAAAAAATTCTGATCAAAAATTTGCCTTCCCATTACGAGGTGATATTTGACTCCTTAAAGTGATTTACAGGGGCATTTTTTTAATTATTTTTTTAAATGGCATTTTTCTAATTTTATAAAAAGTATGTCATCTTTTATGTCAAATTCAAAAATGTATATTCATAAGCTTTTTACACTTTCTAATTAAACAATAGAATAAGAAGAATAAGTTACCAATCATGTAAAATCAGTATAAGTGAAATAACTTGTACTACAGAAGAGCACAGAAGAACACAAAAGTGGCTCGTAGGTGTATTTTCAGACATTTAATGAGGCTCAGAGGTGGCATGAGTGAGTATTTATGCCACCACCATTAACATTTTTTTTGTCTTAGGAATGCAAACATCCAGGGTCAGGTGAGGGCCTGAACAACGGAAAGCCAACTGCTGAAACCTGGCCGTGGTTTGTTCTAATGGATGAGATGTTGGATCAGAGGCCTTCCATTTCTCCCCCTGTTCTCATTGCTTCACTGCCTGATGACGAACCACAGCCAGGTTGCAGTTCTGTTGAGCCTACCCAGGAAGCAGAACAGCAGGAGAGGGCAGGTATAGAGCAGTCACGGCCAAGAAAGAGAAAAAACTAATCAGATCCTCTTCTTGAGCTCCTGGAGGAAGACATGGCACGTCAGAAGGAGTGGGAAGAAAGGAGAGATGCAGAAGACAGGGCGTGGAGTGATAGGCTCTTTAATTTACTTGAAAAATTTATTGATAAAAAGTAACAAAAATATTTACAATATTTACTACTATTTACAATATTTACTTACTATTGTTACAAATATTAAAAAGGTAATTCTGTTGTCAACATTTCAATAAATCTTTAAATTAATACATTCTAAATGGCTAAACACAATCATTAATGAATAAATATCTTTGGTTACACATTAACAAAAATAAAAGATAAATCATGAAAAAGATGTCATGTGTTGTGTGAGCTCTCATGCTGACTTCCTAGTAAGCCTAAGAACAAAAGAAGAAGAAAAAAAAATTATTCTGGGTTAAGGATTTTAAAATTCCATGAAAAGGTAATCAGTTATCCGTTTATAATGCTGTATAAACTATATTAAACTTAAGTATAGTTAATTATACATTTCATTTTAAAATCAGTATTTGTAGCCAAATTAAATTAAATTGTATTTAGTGTGTTCAACTTACTTTTTTAATTAGGATGATTTATGTAGTCGTGGTCCTGGTTGACGTAAGGCAGACACTTGGTTGCACAATCTCAAACGCCATGCTGCACCAGATACTGCCTCCCCTTGATTGCATGCCTCCACATCATCTTCCTCTTCTTCTTGGCTGTCGTCTGGTGGTAAAATGTCGCCAACACCAAGGCAGATGTTGTGTAGCATGGTGCATGCAGCTATTACCTGTATACACACAAATATGAAAACATTTTGTCACCCTAAATTGTAAATTCTTTTATCTGACATTGAAGTTGTGTGTTAAGTAAAGATCAAATATAGAGGAAAATAATGCAACCTTTGGTGCAAATGTTGAGTTTCCTTTTCCGCCCGTCCTACGAAGGCCGTCTCGTTTAATCCTAGGGTTGAGGACACTCCATATACGCATCCTAGAGAGGATGCGACCTCCGGAGGGCGCAGCCTTCTAAATGAGACACAGCTACTGCTTAAGTGTGAAAATATTAAATTTTCAAAATTGTAAAATGAATATATTTTTTGACTTACGTTACCTTTACTGACATAAATGTGAAACGAAAGGAGGTTTTCTCAATTCTAATTTCTAGCAGATCTGTGCCATTGTCGCAAATCACGTCATACAGATTAACGGTAATTAACGGTGCTGAAGAGCGGGCCGTAGAAAATAAAGACGGAAAGACTCGGTCATGTGAACAGTAGGCTTTAGATGCGGTACATTTAAATGACAGTCCATAAATTTTATACTTATGTTATGTACAGTTATTTTTTTATCATTTGAGATGTACATTTAAGTCACGTTATACCTCACGTTATATTTCCCTGGCAAATTAAGTTAAAAAATCCAAAATTCTCTATATATATTATAACATTTGAAATCATATTTTGTCAAAGTTTACCACTTCATTCTGAGGACAAGCCTGAAAATGGTGTTATAAAGGGGAGACCTAGTGAAAGCATTTTATTAGCTCTGTTATAGCCAGATTCCATTCTATTTTTGGGGTGTAGAACAATTACACACAGTCAGAAAGTGTATAATTTAAATGAAGGGAGCATTTTTAAATTATAAGCAAAATCCATTTGAGGTCAGCCTAAAAATGAATAGAAATATTAATTAAAATAGTAATTAAATAAATAACATTAACAGGGAGAAAGCTTGACAACACTAAAGCATTTTGTTTTAAAAAATAATCTTGTAATTTTGGAATTCAGCCTAATTAATTGATTGTGTGTGTACATGTTTAACCCCTATTTGTGTACATGTTTAACCCCTATTGTGGGGACCAAATATTTACTCAAGGAGTAAAACTTGATTTTTTTTTTTTTTTACATTTTTGGGACTGACACTTATGGCCTATAGTCGGGATGAATGTGGCTAAATGTGCCGTTTCTCAACCAGAATCGGGCCAGATCCGCAGATCCAAAGCCTAGCCAAATCTGGCAACCATTACTGGGCCCGAGTTGCCTCGCTTCGGGCGAGCCGCTGCCAGCACACAGCCGAGTGAGCTGACACTCAGCCGCATTCGGCCCGATTCCGCTGGCTACCTGGGAGGTGTTATTCATTTTTTATGACTACTAGATGGTCACAACATAAACCGTGTTGTAAAGCTTCGAGTGATTAACTTTTTTCCGATACTATTGTGTTGAAAGCTTCACTGGTTCAGAACGCTTGACCATCACTACCAAACACATTCGACCTGAATTACCATAGTAATAAACATCGCTTTCACTTAATGATGACACCCTCGGCCGGCAGCAATAGCAGATTTCATAGCCGAAGTTATCAAAATAGGGGCGAGGTCCTGTTGGGGTATGGGCGTGTTAGTTTTGGTGCTTTCAAAAATCAACATCGTTTGGCAAAATTTGCTTAGTGCATTTTTTGTGTATTATTATTATTATTTTTTTTTTATTATTATTATTTTTTTATTATTTGCAAAAATATAAATTTCAATGCTAATATAATATATAAATAATACAAACAGGTGTATGGTTTATAGATAAGCGTTTAATGTACATTAATGCTTTGTTGTTTTGTTTAGCTCTTATGGTGATTTTTAGAATCCATATCCTATAGACACATCTATAAATGTGAGATATACAGTATATATATATATATATATATATATATATCGATATATATCAGTATATAAATTATCAGTAAAGTTTCGACCTTCATACCCAAGGGTCCGCCGTTACAGAAAGAAACTATTCTCAGTTCGGTTAGTGTACTGCTGGAGAAACTGAGTGCTGTAAGCATCTA